CTTTAAACAAAAGGCAAGATAAAAACGGAAGTAGAAGAAAGGAGCCCAACCGGTGTGGCTCAGTAGTTGAGCATTAACCTATGAACCAGGAGGTCACTGTTTGATTCCTAGTCAGGGCACATGCCCCGGTTGTGGGCTCGACTGTGTGCAAGAGGCAGCAGATCAATGATTCTCTCACCATTGATGTCTCTAACTCTCTCCCTCTCTTTTCCCCTCTGAAATCAATAAAAATATAAAAATTAAAAATTTTAAAAGAAGGGAGACAAAAATCTTTGGGAGGCATGGGAGCAGGATTTTCCTCTTCAGGTGCGAGGGACATATGAAGGAGAGCAGATTATTTAGAATGAAGGCTGTGAGAGATGAAGATGTATTGGAGTTTCTCTTTTTATATATGGTACTCAGAGCCTGTTGCAGGGACTGATTTGGCAGTTTAAAGAAGGTATACAGGCCCTAGTCCAGTGTGGCTCAGAAATTAGAGTCGACCGACATCCCAAATGATCGAGGGTTTGATTCCTGGTCAAGAGCACATACCTGGGTTGCAGGTTCAATCCCTGGCCCTAGTCAGGGCGTGTGCAGAAGCAACCAATCTATGTCTCTCTCTCTCTCTCTCTCTCTCTTTCTCTCTCTCTCTCTCTCTCTCTCTCTCTCATCTCTCTCTCACACACACACCTCTCTCTCTCTCTCCCTACCCTCCCTCCCACTCTTTCTAAAAATCAGTGGGAAAAATATCCTTCAGTGAGGATTAACAACAACAAAAAAAGTATACAGGACTAGATCCTATCTTCCCCTTGACACACACACACACACACACACACACACACACACACACTGCTCTATTGTCTGGAGCTGGAGGTGAGTTGGCTCTATGAAAGGCACAAGGCAGGATGGTGAAAGTTAAGGTTGAACTCAAGCTCTTATGGGTGCCCCTTTTTAGCTCAATGTTCTCTCCTTGGACCAGGTGCTCACGTGTTGGAATCCACATTGATGGGTCTGTCCAGGAATCCATGAAACATACTCTGTCTCCCTGTCTCTGATAGGATGGATGGATGTGCATGAACAGGGAGGTGGGGAACGTTAAGCAGAAGGCAATGGAGTTTGTGATCTCAGAGGTCTGAATGGGCCTAGAAGTCAGTCCTCTATTTTGCATCAGGGTTGGTTGGACAGATAGAATAGGAGAAAAACTGCCTGGGTTTCCTACCTAAATGGCCCACCATCCCTCCTGCTATAAGCAGTGCATATCAGCAGAAGCCTTGGCCTTCAGGGTGTTTTCAGCAACCTAGCACTCCCCAACATATTGACCTGATAGTGCTGGCTGGTTCCAGGGAGGAACAGGGTAGTGGTTGTGATTACTGAGGCATGGGGATTCTGTATGAGGCATTCATGGTGTTATTGTTGGCAAATTTGGCTAACAGAGGGCAGAGCAGACAGAAAGGGTACGCACAATGGCTTCCATTTAGGGCCTGGTTTACATGTTTCATTGGATTCTCAGCTTGAGGGGGTGGGTGATAAACCATTGGATTTCTATTTGGAAGACCTGGAAAATGATCCTGTGAACAAAATCTTCTGTATGTACAATATGATTTCAACGATGCATGTGTGTATAAAGAAAGAAAACTGGAAGAAAAGTACTAAACTATTAACAGCTTAATGGGCTCATCAGGTTGTCTTCCCACACTTGGACAATTAGCAGAAATAGTGAACTTCTTCTGTGTCCTTTTCACTACACCCTTCAAGTTTGACACTTAGCCCCATTTTTCTGGCTATGACCTGGACTCCTTCCTGATTCTTCACCCCTACCACACTACCTCTAGTCTCCTTGGGTAAAAATCCAGGATTGATTCAACCTAGGACCTTTCTATTTCTGTGCCACCCCTGAGATCCTACAATGCACTATACCCTCAAGAGCAGAGTGATCAGGAAATGGACATCAAGCTGTATTGGCTGAATAAAAGCAACATTAAGACAGGAGTCCAAAAATTCTAATTTTCCATTTCACTTTTTTCACTTGGCTACCTTGTCTAGTATGTCCTTTTGAAAAGGATTTGTAAAAACCAGTATCAATTATTAATATAGGACCACTTCCATCTTTCCCTAGCAGTCCTTACCTATAGTTTGAATAACCTTCCACAGCCTGAGCTGGGTTGGCGACATTGGAAATGTTCTGCAGATTTTCAGGGTTTTGAATTTCCTTAATCTCATGGACCCATTTGGGAAGAGTTTTTGCCTGTGTGTCTTAAGCACCATTTATATTGGAAGCTGTCCCTTTTGACTTCTAAGTCATACACCAATGCTGTCTCATTAATCAAAGCCATACACAATGCCACATTTTATTCAGTAATGAGGCCCAGGGACCGGCTGGATGATAGACTCCACATGTGAGGCAGTGCTGCTGCATGCCATCTGAGGAAGCCTCAAAATTGCTGTGATGTAATAAGCAGAACTCCCACCAGCCTGCTCATTGATTCTGTTGATGGGGTCTGAATCGCTGAACTATAATGATGTCACTGGTGAGATGTGTTCTTAAATAATGTGATCAATTTCCTCCATCAATTGTCCTGGTCCTGGGTGGAACAGAAATGGGGAAAGTCCTTGATAGGGCTAATGTTTGAGCCATGCCAGAGACAGCAGGCTTATGTTTAGGGCCTCTTACCTTGTATGTCTCAAGATCTAATGAAAGGGTTCAGTTGGTTAGAGCATCGTCCTGATATGCCAGGGTTGTGGGTTCGACCTCCCATTCAGAGGGACACATACAGGAGTCAACCAATGAATCTCTCTCTCTCTCTCTCTCTCTCTCTCTCTCTCTCTCTCTCAGATTTACATTGCTCGGGGTAGTAGTTTTCCTCCTCTCCACTCCATTTTCCTCCCATATCCTCCCTTTTCTCTCCTGCCTTCCTCTCTCTTGCAGCATCACTACCTCATCAAGAAGATGTGTTCAGCCCAGCCAGTGTGGCTCAGTGGTTGAGCATTGACATATGAACCAGGAGGTCATGGTTCGATTCCCGGTCAGGGCATATGCCCGGTTTGTGGGCTCGATCCCCATGGTGGGGCATGCAGAAAGCAGCTAATCAATGATTCTCTCTCATCATTGATGTTTCTATCTCTCTCTCCCTCTCCCTTCCTCTCTGAAATCAATAAAAATATTTTTTAAAAAATAAAAAAGACATGTTCAAGTAGCAGTAAACAGGCAGAGAACAAGTCAATTCTAGCAACAGTATTTTTTTTACAGCTACAAGCTATTCAAATGGACTTCCTGTAGCCTAGAACTGCAAGCACCCTGCCAGAACTCCAAGGGACAATGAGTACACATTGATATTAACCTGTAGTTTCCCTTCCGAGGAGCTCTGCTATAGGAACTCTCTCTTCTGGTCAAACAGGTCTGCCCACCATTCCTTAAATATATTTCACAGCTTCCTGTCACCTGAAATGCTTGGCCTTCCATCTCCTTTATGACCTGAGCCCAACTCTGCCTCTTCCATTAAACCCACCCTCTTTTCCTACATCTGAATGCTTTCTGGCACCTCATATTTACAGATGGCATTTAGGACATACTCCCTTGTTGCAGGTACAAAGGTACATGTCTCTAACACTGTAGGATGTTCATCCAATTTTTTAAAATGTATTTTTATTGATTTCAGAGTAAGGAAGGGAGAGGGAGAAAGAGATAGAAACATTAAAAAAGAAAGAAAGAAACATCAATGATGAGAGAGAATCATTGATTGGCTGCCTCCTGCACACCCCCTACTGGGGATTGAGCCGCAACCTGGGCATGTGCCCTTGCCCGGAATTGACCCCAGGATCTTTCAGTCTGCAAGCCGATGCTCTATCCACTGAGCCAAACCAGCTAGGGCAGCAGTCGACAACCGATGGTCTGCGGACCACTCGTGATCCGTGAGGTCCGAAAGGTTGGCAACCGTTGAGCTAGGGCAATCGGTTGCCTTCTGTATGCACCCCAACCAGGGGATCAAACCCACCACCTTTTGGTGTACAGGATGATGCTCCAACCAACTGAGCTGCACTGGCCAGGGCCAAAGTACTTTGTATGTTTCCTTAAGAACCGTTGGGATGTTTTCCACTCTTCTGCCACCTGTCCCCAGCATGTCCCCAGCATGAGTATCCAGTAGATGTCCAGTAAAGACTTATCAATTGATGTATTCACATGCCCAGATTTGGCCAAGGGAAGCTGAGGCTTTGGCTCTCTGTGTGGCAGTGAGCTTGGGCTGAGGTGGAGTGCAGAAAGCAGAGAACCAGTTTCTGCTGACTTCACTTTTTTCTTTGCTGCCATTCAGGCCACAGAATTAATAGGGTCTTCGGGTACATCTTCCTTCAAACTGGACTGATCCTACAGTTAATGGTTAACATTCTTTGTTTACCTTAATGATTGCCAAGATCTGTTGCTGCACATGATACACATTGCGGTCCAAGTGCCTTGGCCCCGATGGGTAAAAGACCATTTTTGAAGAGGTTTTAGGGTTCTGGGATGGGATTGGTAATACTTTGGTCCATCCCTACGCACTCAAGACATGGACAATAAGCAGAGAGCCCTGGTACTGCCAGGTGGGTGAAGTAGTGTCATCCCCACTTTGACCTCAAGGTGCCAGTAAGCATCCTCCCCAGCATCATATCCTTTTAGAGGCTGGGAGCTATAAGGGATGGAAGGGAACACAGGAACCCTCTCTGCAGCTCACCCACACTACATATGGCCAGGGGGTGGGGAAAGGTTGAGAGGTGTTGATGAGCTCAGGTCCATGCAGTTCAGTCTCCCAGATGAGATGGGCTAAACATGGGCACGCGGGTGACAATGATGCCTCTCTCCCTCTGGAACAGAGCAGTAACTCCAGACTATGTGATCTGTCTACCCAAACCCATTGGAAACTCAGGAGATCAATCTTATTTAATAATTGTGTGTGTGAGGAGGTGGGGCTGGTTAATGTTTGTCTGGTTCCTCTTGGGCTTTGGGCCATATCTGGCTCCAGCCCTAGGTTTTTTGCCCCTCCCCTGGGCTGGGCTGACAATACCTAGTGGCATAGTGCAGACACGTCTGCAGACATTCCCGGGAAAGAGCAGCAGCAACCAGGTGAGGAAGCTGGGGGCTGAGAGAGGTGGACCAGGGGGCCCTGGTGTGGCACAGGGGGGCAGAAATGGGGGCTGGGAAAAGGCTCAGGTCTTATCTTCTCTTGGCCTTGGCATTCAGCCACTTTGATCCCTTCTATGCTTCCCTCCAAGTTGGGGTGAGGAGGCCCCTTCTGCCAGGTGGCGAGCTTGCTTAGCCTCTCTTTGTAGCCCTCAACTCTTATCCTCTTTTCAGGCTCCAAGTCCTTTATCCTCTCAATCTTTTTCCCTAGCTAAGGATTCCCTTCATCCCCACAGGGCCAAGTTCCCAGGAAGCTTTGTG